CCCGTGCAGCAGCAGGTCCCATGCATGCTCGCGCGGCCGCGCGCGCGGTTTCGCCGTGCGTTGGAAAGAGCACACAGCATGTGCTGGGGGACAAGTAAGCCAGCCAGCCAGCCTGCACATCTTCTGCTGAAACAAGCCCGCTTGCACCTTTTCTACGCTCTCTTGTCTATCCGAGGCAAGTGTGCGTATAGCTATGCCACGATGATGTCCATACCACCTTCCTCAAGAGCCACGAGCTGCAGGCGAAGCGCAAGCTACGCGTATAGTCTAGTCGTGAGTGTCTCTGCGGTGTACCACACGACATATCACACCCAGTGATGCTGCTTAATTGCGCCAGCAGTCAGGTAGCGCGGGCGCGCGCATGACTCGATCGTTCTCACATCCACGGAGATCCGCGAATCCCGCTCCGATCGTTCTCCATCACCGCCGCGACTCATAAAGCTTCTTCAGCACGGCAGGCACGATCACGATCACGATCACGATCACGATCACTCTGGACTTGTCGATGTCCGTCGAGCTGCAAAGAGGATGAATGCGAACAACCTTCGCCATTCCGCATCAACACTCGTGACTTGTATTCAGCAGAGCCTTGCAGCTCACAAGTCAAGCAACGCCACGCCAAGACCTAACAGTCTCGACACTCGCCACCGCATACATTCGCCCTGTCAGCTTTCTTTGCAGCCACCAATCCAAGATGGCGATGTTGAATGCAGGAAAGCGCATGGCGGGTCTGATCGGTTTGGGTGAGTTGGGGCTTGAATGGAGCATGGCAAGCTCTCTGCCATCCACCTGCTCGCTCATCGCCTCCCATGTCGCTCGCCAGATGAGGAGACTGTCAACGCTCAGATCTTACCTCTACTCGACTCCTTCAAGGATCCTCGTGCTCTGTCCAATCATCTCGAGGTAGGGCGCGCGGCAGAGGCTCTATCAACGCTTCCGCTGCTCTCCTTTGCTGACCACTTGTGCACCTCTTTTGCGCTGCGCCACACAGGGCCTCCTGGGCTTCTCTCCGGCAGCGACTGCCTTCACGCGAGAGTACGTTCAAGCTCGATTCCCGCCTCTACTGGCCTCCACGAGCGGCTCGAAGGGAAACGGGAACACTTTCGCAGAAGCGTCAAAGCCTGTGGTCGTCAAGGACGAGACGGCACCGCGAAGGTCCAAGAAGGAACCCAAACCTCGTTTCCCACCGCCCGTTTCTGCGCCACGAGCTGTGGCTAGCGATGGATTTGCTACGCAGGGTCAGGCTTACATCAAGCGAGAAGCTGAACAGCAGAGCTTTTTGCAACCTAGAGCAGCTGCAGGGTCGCGCACGAGCAAAGGAACATCGAGCAGCTCCAATCTTGTTCACACAAGCCCCAACACATCACCCGCCATCCAACCACGCCCTTTGCCGCCTTCTGCACCAGCCATGGAGGCCGGATCGAGCAGCAGCGCGGTAGGACGCCAAGAGAGCCATACGGCTGCTGATGATGGTCTGCCTGAATTGACCCCTACGGCGGACATGATTGCGCTGGACGAGGCAATCGCAACACTGACTTTGGTCGGGGAGGTGGGTGGAGCGTCCACCAAACAGAAGAAGAAGCGCACCGAGAAACCTTGTTTCTGTCACGGTGAGTGCACGGGAAGAATCGCGCACATGTGGATGAGAAGCTCAACTCGTCCATCTTTTCAACTTTGGCAGCTCGAGTACATCCAGTTCATCCGCATGTGCCGCAATGCACAGCTTGCGGCTTGATCATCTGCACCGCCATGACCTCTCTGGTCTTTGCAGCCAGCTCCACCTGTCCCTCTTGCGCCTCTCCACTCCTCTCTGATTCGAAACGAGCAGCGCTCGTGTCCAAACTTTCGGCCTCTCGCGATCTTCTTGCGGACGCGCAGAGAGCTCGTCAAGTCCGAGTGCGCGAAGAGCGTAGAAAGGCAAGAGAGGATCAGAGAGCTGCTAGACCTCCCGAGGAGCTGTTTCCAGAACTGGGGGGATCTGGCCTGATGAGGAGCAGGCCTAGACCGGTGGATGTAGCGATGGGAAGAGCCGTGGTGCCGGATGCAGAGAGAAAGGCGAAAATGTTGACGCTCAATTCGAAGACGCACAAATTGAAAGCTGCAAAGCCGAAGAAGAAGAAAAAGGGCGTTTCGGATATCAAGCAGAGCCCTAGCATCTCGCAAGGCATCGCGGCATCGAACTCCGGCCAAGCGACTGTTCCCGTTGATTGCGCTGCGCCTGCAGCCCAGCAGCTTCAAGAAGAGCCCGAGGAGTCGTCGGAAGAGGAAGATGAGGAAGAGTACGATCCTCTTGGATTAGGACTAGTCCCCGATCCTGACGACGACGGCTTCTCGATGCACGGTCTTGCCGGTCCGCCGGTCCGCATCGTGCCGAACGGATCGGCTAGCGAATCGCCGAGCTGGTGGGGTCTTGCACCTCGCTTGGATGGCGAACCGTGCGCTTTGGAGTATGTGGCTCTGCCCGACAGACCCGTCTGGGGAGCAAAGAAGGCAGAGGAAGAGGAAGAGGCGGCTGCGATGGAGAGGGCAAAGGAAGGAGAGGATAAGAGAAAAGCCCCGCCTGGAAGCGATGCAGTTCAGAAGGGAAGAGGTAGACCGAAAAGGAAAGAGAAACCGAAGCTGGCAAAGGACGCGGGCGCTCTGCCATCGGTCTGATGCGGCCAACTTTTTTTTGGGAAGCACACGAGAGATGAAACGTCGTTTGGATGCTGCGATGGAGCAATGTGAATTTGTGGTGCAAGGAACAATGCAGCATTCACGGATGCTGGAAGCGTGGAGATGAGCCATGTGGGTCTCGAGTGGATGGCACGATGCGGGGCGCTGCGAAGAGGTGGAAATCGGACCGCTTCGTGCTCGTCCGAAGCTTCGTTTGGTCTCAACGAGGCCTGTGGAACAGGTCATCCCTGACGCAGCTCATGATGAGCGTAGCGCAAGCGACGAGTCCAATGATCAGAATGGCGCTCTGCCAAATGGCGTAGGTGGAGATGAGCGGTAGGATGAGACCGTCGGGTGTGCGCTCGTGCTCTAGACGATGTTTAAGGTGAAGGGCTCGAGAATGAAGATGATCCTCCTGCTTGAGCACCGAAAAGTGTCTCTTTTCGAAAGCGGCCAGCCACAAAGACATGGACACTTCGGCTCTGGAGGCGCAGTGCAGTGCAGTGCAGTGCAGTGCAGTGCAGTG